ACTTCAGCTCTAGAGCTGAAGTTTCCTAGTTACAATACAAAAACTTCAGCTCTAGAGCTGAAGTTTCCCAGTTACAACACAAAAACTTCAGCTCTAGAGCGAAGCTTACAAACAAAAATTTCAGCTCTAGAGCTGAAGCTTACAAACAAAAACTTCAGCTCTAGAGCTGAAATTCGACAGTTACAAAACAAAAACTTCAGCTCTAGAGCTGAAATTCGACAGTTACAAAACAAAAACTTCAGCTCTAGAGCTAAACTTCAGGCCCGACTACTAGAATGCTGAAGTTTTGGGTGATTGTCTTTGCAACTTCAGCCCCGTATGCTGAAGTTATGCGAAAAAGCGGGTACGCTTGTAATTTTTTTTGTAAAGCGGGCACAAGTTAAAACGTGACACAAAAAGCGGGTATAGATGCAAATGCCCCATGAGTTGTCCATTCAGAAATTTTTATAAAACACTATCTTTTAGTGGTAATTAGTTATCTATAGATACCATTTGCTATATTACGGATTGTAGATACGTTTTCTGTTGTTATAAGATGTATTAGATGTATTTAAGCTACTGTATCCATGAATACAGTAGCAAAAATAGGCGTGAATCAGGGAAGTCCAGCTAATTAGTTGACTGTATTCATGGCATGAAATATGGGATTACAGCTGGACAAATTATTGTATTCGACTGTATTCACGGCGTGAAACAGGGGATTACACTATTTTTAAACGGAAAGTGAATCAATTAACATAGTAGACTTATAATATAACTCAACAAACTCAATTATAACACACAAATTTTGTATTTCCAGTTATAAAAAAGATTCTCAACCGAAAAATACCCCAAAAATATAGCAATCTTCAGAGAAATTATATAATACATCTGAATGCATAAATTATATTAGTTAAAAAACATATGAATACATTCATGGCATATAGCGAGACAGTGAATACAATGAAATAAATGGAATACAGCGAGATACATTGAATTACAATGGGAAAAAAACAATGAATACAATGAAATACATGAAAATACAACGTGATACGTTGAAAATATATTGAAATACATCGTGATACGTTGACAGAGTAAACGACAAAAATCTGTTGTGTTTACTTTGTTAAGAAGAAGAGATATTGATTGAGAAAATCCATTTACAGTTAACAACTCCACCTACCAATATCAAAAAATAAACGACAAAACGCCGTCGTTTTAACCTTCTCCGGTTACTGTTACACTGGTGAACGGTTACATGTAATTGCTAACTGGGTTGTTGAATAAACTCATTAAACAAAGTCTCTATTTGAAAAGTTGAATTTTTCAGTTGTTTGGTGGAAGCAAAAATCTTGAATTGCTTATCCTAACTAATTTTGAATTGAGGTTTAGTTTGTTTGTAGGAGCAGAAAACGTTGAAGCTTTGTAGGGTTTAAGCAATTGGGGCTGGCAGAAAAAAAGGATGAATCCAAATTGGGAACTTAGGGATTGTTGTAACCATGATCAAAAGATCTTTCTTGCTACCATTGGTGTCTTCACCGTCGTCATTCTTGTCGTTCGTCTCTCTTTCTATACGTTTTTTTGGTTTTTTACGGGAAGAGAATGGCATGTATCAAAATAGAGAGAGAAAGAAAATAGTGTAACTGAATAGCGTATTTAGTGGCTTAGGGGTAGGAGGTAACCAAAATTAGATATTTTGCTATAAACATTAAAAGGTATCTATAGAATATAATTTTTTTAAATGGTATTTATTTAAAATAAATAAGGTGTTAACCTTTGCTATAGGAGTTAAAAATTCCTTATCCACATGGCTTGAAGGAAGGATTACAATTTACATCATCAAACTTAATCACAATTCTCTTGTTTAATATGAAGACAGTAAAATCTCCCTTTTATTTAAAACAAATCCCGAGATTTAAATACATCCAACTGTCACTCAGTCTCATTTTTTCATAAGAGTACCAGTTTTCCTGAACATTTTATATATTGCTCGATAGCAAGAAATTCATGTTTGTCACAAACTAGAGTTTTTTCTTGATGTCTTCAGACTCAGTTCATAGCATACTTTTGAGTCCAACTACGAGCCATTGATTCATACTTGTTCCTATCAGTCTTGCACATATGAGCAATCTCTGGAACCAATGGATCATCTGGATTTGGATCTGTTAGCAGTGAACATATGGAGAGCAAAACCTGTATCGACAAAACCAACAGCAAATGCATCAAAATTGTTAGAACTATAAAAGCGTATACTGTATTATGCTCAAGACTATTGTCGCTTGTTTAAATGTCGGTAATTAAAGAATGAATTTAGCATATATATACTGACAGTCTAAATAATTTTTACTTAGCAAATTAACCCGTTTTAACAAGTTACTTGCCTTATGTCCAAGGATCATTTCACCCTTTTGATTCATGTAGTAAATCATTAATACAATATACTATATGGGAGTTGAGGAGAAATAGGTAGAAACCAATAGTACCTTGGATATGGTGAGGGCAGGACTCCACTGATCCTTAAGAATGTCCAAACAAATATTTCCATTATTGTTTATATTTGGATGGAAAACTCTTGTCCTAAAAGCCACCTGCCAATATATATATGAAACTTAATATCATCTAGTCGTTTGTTATTTCCCCTTCTTTAATTTTCTTTCTTTGGGGGGATATGATTGTGTGAGATTAATTGAAAACCATACCTTGGGAGGTTTGAAAGGGTAATCAGGGGGGAAATGGATGGTGACTTGAAAAACACCACCAGCATAAGGGCTATCATTTGGACCAATTATAGTTGCTTGCCAATGGAACATATCCTGAGCTACTGGACCTGAAAAATTTACAAAAAATCTTGAAAATAAGTTTCTACTTGAAACTATCTTTAAATTTGGCAAGAACTTCTTACAATACTAGTTTGACTTGGCTAATACCACTACTAAATATATTTTTTTGGTTTCCCATCCGGTGTTCAGTATCCACATTGGGGCCCGACTAAATCCGGATTCTCCGGTAAATTCCATGTTGGTAAGTAAAACGCTCCCTAACAGAGGCGACTTCATACCCAAGGCTCGACCTCTGGTTAAGAATGAAAGAGTACTTATTACTCTACCACAACCCTTGTTGATTACTACCAATATGTTTATACCTGCACTGCATGAAGTGGGAGGGTCTCTTTGCAAGTCCCTTAGCTCCTTGAGAATTCTCCTGGATGCCATTAATTAATACCACCACTTAGTTCAAAGAAGAATGAAGATGACAAGATTATAGAAGTTATGAGGAGAGGAGAGAAGAGATAAACTTGATGAAAGATGTTGATTTTTTGAGTTTTTGATATCCTCATAATAAGTGGAATGGTAGTGTTTATATAAAGGAGCAAAGAGTAGAAAGAAAAACTTTCTTTTTGTTATGTGGTCACACATTGACATTGATATTAGATTCTGTAGCAGAAAGCAATGCATCCACTCTTCAACTTTAAAAAGAACGATAGAATGATTTTCAGCCGTGTGAAGAAACACAAAAAGATTATTCTTCCGCATAATTTTTCTTGGTTTCCCAAACAGACTTTCCAATTTGACAAGGATAAAACTTTGATTAGTATTTCCCACTTTAAGGCTTCATTTTATACATTCGCAATATGCTGTATCCACTTCTCAAGAAACTGCTATACTGGCTCCTATTTTTATTTTTATTTTTAAATTTTTTTTTTTTTGTGGGGGCGGGGGTGGTTACATTAAACTTAGTATTGCACTAAATCGAAAATTTTAAGTGAAAAATCGAACCAAATTGAACCGTGAAAGTACATTTTATACATTAGCAATATGCTGCATCCAGCTTGTTTTCTTCCCCTTTTTCACAGGAGGTCCCAATTATGGAGTAGTATTTTTCCCCTTAATTTTCTTGCATTTTTAAAATTTCCTTTCAAGTGGAGGATGTGCAGTGGCAAAAGAAAGATTTCTTGATGCATGATAACGTTAAACCTATTACAGCGTACTCCAATTCAGATCTTAACTATTTCACTTACAAAGATTTAGTCCAATATAAGATATTTTAATTGATATTCTTTTAGAAAGGGAGTGGGTGGGGGAGGCATAATTTGGTTAATGGACGGTATACATTATTCAATTAATGTGAGGCTAGAAAAATTTCACACCATTTGAGTGAATATACACCTTTTCCCACCTTTTTGTCTCATTGCCTTTTGATTTTGATAAAAAAGAAACCATAATGTTACAGAGATCAATCAAACTTAGCTCATCTTTGACCAAAAATGAGCTCCAACTTGCCCTTTGTAACAGTATTACAGCATCCAAATGTTGAATATTGACTGTAAAGATCATTGAAATCAATAATGTAATCTTGTGATAGCATTCTAATCCTATATTGACTAGGTTACCAATACTTATTATAGATATTTATTTGTAATTATGTTATAAGTGATATTATTATAAATATCTTTATATTGCCAACCGCATTGAATTTAGAGGAAACTACACTTTATACCCACAAAAACCAAAATATTTACTCGCTTTTACCCATTTTGAAAATAGTTACAGTATCTACCTGCCCCACCTATATTAATTACCCGGCCTCCCTATCACTGTTTCTGTTTAAAATTTTCTTATATGTTCCCCTGTTTTTCTCCCTATTTTCTCTTTCTTCCTTTTACAACATTAATTCTCATATTCTTCCAATAAGCAATTCCTTTTATTCTTAAATTCTCTCTTCCATATATCATTAGCAAGAAAGTTAAGTAGGAAAAAGCTTTCAGTGAGTCTTATCCTTTATCCAATAGAGAAATATTACAAAGTAGTGGATCCAAATTTAGATCTGAAGAAAAAAAATTGGAACTTTATGTGTATGAGTTCAAACTTTTAGGTTTGAATCTTCAATAGATCGATCTTCATTAAGATGTTCAACCCAAGCTTTCCTTATGATTTTTGTGTGTATGAAGATCCACCATTGTTGAGCTTGAAGCTTCTAAAACGGAAATTTTATTTTGAAGATTTATTGTTTAATTTGATGTGGGTGCTATAAAATATTGCTTAAAGTACCTTCGTGTAGCTTCCCAAATCTGAATTTTTATGTGTGTTTGAAGATCCACCATTGTTGGCTTGAAGCTCAATTTTTGTTTTTGAAGATTTCTTATTTTATTCAAAGTGGGTGTTATTAAATATTGCACATAGTATCTTCTAGAAATTCATACTGAAATTTGATCATATTTGAAGTTGATTTGAGATGATTAAGATCGAATATTTTCACTGAAAATAGAAGAAGAACACAGTTACTTAATAGTATACTGCTACGGTATACAATATGTTGTAGGGGTATATAGCTATATTGTAACAATATAATGTATTGTATACTCAAATAGTACAAATATACCATTTTAGTATACAATTCATTTCAACTATATACCCTATTAGTATAGCTATATACTATATTGGTATCATATGCTAGTTGAATTATTTTTTGGTTGTGTTAGCTGCATTTAATTGGTACAATATTTGATGTTCTTTTAATAATAGTAATATAGTACAATATCTTGAAATACCTTATTATATTAATATGTGATACCCTATTTTTTTTCTCTTTATGCATGTGTGTTATGTAATAGTAGTATAGTTATATAGTTGCCGAAAATTAACTAGTAAAAAGGTATACCATGTTGGTATAGTTATATGCCATATTGGTATCATATGGTAGTTTGAACATTGTTTTGGTTGTTTTAGCTGCATTTTAAGTGAATTGTATTATGAAATTATTTATATCAACATGAGTTGCAATAATGCTAGATTTTTTGTGTACCGATGGACATAAATTATGTGTATTAATAGTTTTTATAGTTATAGGCAATTGTTGGAACGACCCCATACAACTATATACCCTCTTAGTATACGAAATGAACAAGTTATTTTGTGAATATTTAGCTTGCAATACGAGCATGTAATTTTCTCATACTTTTATTGTGTCCTTTAATGTTTTGGTAGAGTAGTATAGTCGCAGATAGTTGTAGCAATATTCTAGAGTAATCATATGCTCCGTTGGTATACATATATACCATATTGGTATCACATGGTACTAGAAGTATTTTTCGCTACTTATACTTTTGTTCTATTTTTAAATATTTTATTATCATTTTTATTCTAACGAGTATATACGGAGATTTGGTTGTCGTAGATTATGTTTTCTTGCTCTATAACTGATTGTATTACTGCTAATGGTAGAGTGTGTACTGATATTTATAGGGAAGGATATCAAGGTTTGCATGGCAATCACGTGTTGATTCTTAAAATCTAATTATGTAATTTATGGTGCTCAACAGCAGTCAATGTGATACTTAAAATATTAGATCAAGTGACAACTGATATTATTTCAGTTTAATAATTAAATTTAAAAAATGAGAAAGAAAAATAAAATAAAAGGTATATTGTACTAGTTATATTTTAAAAAATGTGAAAAATATTTACTAAATATTTCTTATTGTATAAAAAAACAATAATAAAAAATAATAAAAACGGTAAATAAAATTAGATTATGAAGAAAAAAGCAATATAAAAAAATTAAATAAGTTAGAAAAGGCAAAAAAAGAAAAAAAAAAAGAAGAAAACTAGAAAAAAGAAAAGCAGAAAAGAAAAGAAAAAAGAAAAAGAAGCATAGAAATAAAAAAGAATTGAAGAATAAAGAAAAAATTCCCTACAAAAACTAGTATGGATAGAAAATGTAATTAGTTTATGGGTAGAAAAACAAATGGGTAGACAAGGGTAAATAGTTTTATTTTTGTGGGTAATTGTGTCAAAACCCCTTTGAATTTATACTCTATCAATAGTAGCAAGAATCTCTTATTCCGTTATAAAATATTAAAAGGTCATAGGATGGACATATTCTCTTAATTAGAATAGGAATTGTACCTCGCCAGCTGAGATATGACAAAGGAGAATCTAATCAAACTGCAATTTTGATATCTGGCAATCAAGTTGCCACTTCATCTCATGTTTGTAGAGCCGTCATTCCCCATTTAATTTAGATTAAGAAATGAAAATTATCATTGACTAGGATCAAGTCAACTGCTAGTATGCAATTTATTTGTTGTCCACCACCATTATAGAAAGAGGACCTTAGTAGTGGATCACCTCGAATGAATTCTGCTATCTTATCTTTTTAGCTTTTTCAACTTCACAAACTTTATTCCTTTTCCCTTCTTTTTTTCAAAATAAGAAGAAAGCCGAGAAGAGCAACTAGGAATTCAAATGACAGGTAGAAGAGTAGCTTCATCATCAGGCCAAGAAAATAAAGTAGAGTCATAACATTTAAATTCAGAAAAACATTCAAACATTTGTTTTTCCTAACTTCAATTTCTTTTTCGCTACCAGATACACTATGAACTTAAAGAAGCAACTGAAAAGAAAATGTAGAAGAAAGGGTGGAACAGCTTGAGAGAGTATTAGGTTAACTGTAATATCAAAGAAGGTTTATGATGTTCAAAGTTTTCAAAAGTAACAACAACAACCCAGTGAGATCTCCCAAGTAAGGTCTGGGGAGGGTAATGTGTACGCAGACCTTAAGGCAAAGAGGTCATTTTCAAAAGACCCTCAGAGGAAGAAAAATTTTAAAAAGCAAATTCAAAGAAATATGAAGTCAACATTGCGGGAAAATTTCTTTTTTCTAACTGGATCTTTCAATCATTAATACATAAAGCAAATGAAAACAGAGAGGGCACAATACAGTGGCCTACAACAAGGTGCTGTGACTCAACAATTAGAGATGACAGCAATACAAAAAACAGAGCCACCTGACAATTCAAGAGATCACAAGTAAATTTAATGAGACATACATGGACCTCCTACTATCTCCGAGACAAAGGAATATTAGGGAGATTACAAGGAGAACTGTGACCGGTAATATCGTTGGGCCTACTGTTGATCACAAAATCGAACATGCCTTTTGGGCCTTCCCCTTCTTTTTCTTCTGCTTGGGTGGCTGGAGCACGACCTTAATAGCAGCATCAAAGACTGCTTTCACATTCTGCAACAAGGACATTTCAATCATACGCTTAACAAGAAGCATCTCAAAAGAACTTCAGGGCAAAGAATAAGATGCTCCACAGAAAACTTACCTGTTGTGTTTTTGAACTACATTCAATGTAAGCAGGTGCTCCAATCGTTTTCCTCAGCTCCTCACCCTAAAAATTGAAATAGGGGAAGTCAAAATAATAGCAAAAAGAGAGAGCAAGGTATAATATCCAGCAGAACATCAAAGGGAGGAAGGGTGCGGGTGATTCTTACCTGAGCAGTAGTAATTGGCACAGCACCAGGATGGTCTATGAAGAACTGCTTATCATCTCGAAGATCTGC